CACTAATTTTGTGCAGGGACAGGCAAGATGAAATTCTATTTCGTCAAACTGCTAGTGGAGAATAAAATATTTTTAAAAAAACATCTGCCGACATTTACTTAGCCCATTGGAAAAGAAGCATCAACAGACAGCATTTTGACGCTGAACTGTGTAACCAGTGAGTGACATCATGCAAAGGTGTCCCATCACCCTTTTTATAACAGAGCACACTTGAAGTCCACACCTGCGCTACGTCACAGAAGTGAGGACTTGGAGGAAGGGTTTAGGGCCTTACTTGCTAACTCTACATGCAGATTACGTTGGAACATTTCTGTTGTGAAACGTCTGCTGCACAGCCTGTACATATTCGCTCGTACATCATATTACATTAGTCATTACAGTGAAGAGTGAGCAGGAAGGGCCGCATCACGTAACAATTTGTGGGAACTCGAATGAAAGTTTGTGACAATATGGCAACTTACAGTACTTTCAGAAAGTTCACGATTTTGTGCTTAACTCAAAAAAAAAAATTTCTGTAACATCACTAAATTAATTTTGTCACCGAGATTTAATAACCGGTCTGAGAAATTGGAACTGCAGTTCCCCTTTGAAAGAAATGTACACAACTGCACAAATCCTCTATAAAACGTTATATGTCTAAAACTGCATTAGAAAAATTTCCAAAGACTTGGACACTGTATTGTATTGCTAGAGTGTCTGTCATTTGTCGGTCATGTTAAAATTATGTATAAAATATAAAACTACTGTCCATTTTGAGGAAAGTCAAGAACATCCTTTGGTTGATTATTTTTGCAAAGATGATGTATTTCCAGCTTTGTTCCATGCTGGACTGCAGTAAACCAGAGACTACCAGAGTGAAAACTCTTAAAAAAAAAACTTATATAAAAGTGTGTATAAGAAAAACTCCTTCTAAACATCCCCACTTTATTTGTTGTGGTAACTTAATAATGCCTTACATCCTAGTGTTGACAGCGCTCACAGCAACCACTGGAAAGGCACATGTTCAAATGAGGCTGGAGCTGTGTCATTTTCCACTTTGAGAGGATATGCTGAAAACCGAACTTTTACAGCCTGCTGCATTATTAAACAGTGTTTCCAAGAGTGCAGGATGCACTGTTCACCTCCATATTATGTTAATGCAAACCCTACCCGGCTTGTGTGAGCCGAATGAATGAAAGTATAAATAACACTCGAACGTTTAGATATGAGGGCAGACTGCAAAGATGAATCTGACAGTTTCCCGTTTCCCTGCTGTGAGACTGAAGTGCGGGGCTAGTTGCTGTAAACGGGTAATCAGTGTTGAGGAAACGTGCTGGGAAAAAAAGACTTCTGTTCCAGAAGAGGAAATTGACTCCGATAGGAAGGGAGCCTAGGGTTTGCGTTGTCCATTTTCTGCGAACGATTAAGATTTCTATCTACGTTGGGATTTTTACACTTGCACTACACTTCAAACTCAGAAGCAGTCAAGCTAACCGCCCACCTACCTTGTTACTCAAGATACTCAGCCTGATAACATTTCTGATGGACAAAAAAAATACTTTTCCAAAGTATACAGCAAAAGCCTTGGTGCGAGTTTTTATGAACTCTGAAGTGAACAGCCTCCTCTCTGAACCGAGTTTGAGCGGAGGAGGAAAGTTAATGTCTGCTACCATCTAGTGGCAAATTGTGTCTTCGCAACAATTTTCAGGTCTACATATTTAAATATTGTCATCCTTGAATACCCATGAACAGGGACTACGAAATCCCTGGCTTACAAGCTCCGATGCTGGTTTTAAATTATATGTCACCATATATTAGGCTAAATGTAACAAAAGGCGACAGTAATTGGTTTAATGTTGAAGTATTCTCCACTGGAAGGTCTTCTACCTGACTGGCTTGTAACGTTGTAGTATGTCTTTCAGATTTTTGCTCGATGTCCTTCATGATTAAAAATCTTAAATTTAAAAAGCAGACAGAAGGTGGAAAGTACCAGATTCTGCCAACTAAGAAATCCCCAAATACCCATACTGAGCCGAGTACAGTTCTCTCCACACTTTTCCCAATTTTAATAATGTGCATGAAATAATGCCCGAGGGAAAATACCCCAACACTTTGCTGTGGGTTTCGAGCCATAATATATACTCGCTTTTGGGTTTTTTTTACCCGTTGGACAATGCATCCTTTTTACCGTTAAGACTGAAATAGATTTCTAAAGAAACAGAAATGCCTTCAAGAACAGCGGGCAAGCCCACACATTTAGATCACACTCCTTATATCTGAAATACTGGGCAGCAGTGTCCAGCAACTGGCTTGCAGAAAATTCTAGAAGTTTCTTTTGGTTATCTCTGCTGTTTAGTAATGTGCACAAAAAATATTTCCAGTGGAAATAGTGCAGATAAAAGAAAGTGAACTGGAGTTATGGCAGTAAAGAAGACATGAGCACTGTACACTTGGTTAAAGAGTGCTGTTGAAAAAACTACAAGCAAAATTACTTAGCTAAGCACCTTTACCACAACACACTACTGAAAGTGAATTTTTATGTAAAAGCTACATAGACTGGGTTTCACCATTTTGATATTTTTCCCATGATGTCATCATTTATTTTTCTGGCTAAATACATTTACAATACATTTATGGACAAAATTAGTCCATATTTGTATTAGAAGCAGCTCACAGAGTACATTTAGGGGTCAACACAAGTGCTACAAAATGTGTAGCTATGCATCTATCAATACGGCAATAGTGCCCATTATAATAATAGGCCACTGGGAACTCCTCTAGTTCTAGTTTAAATGCAAAGCCCATGGAAAGATAGACCTAAAAATAATTCAACAGATAACAAAAGACCAAAGCACTAACAATTCTGAAAATTCAGTTTCTATAAATTCAGGCAATGGCTCAAATGAATGGAGGAATGAATTAATTTGATATACAGATGCTCCTACTTGACCTCATTGTGGCTTCAGTTTCCTATATTGTGTTGTTGTGCTGTTAGAAGTACTGAGAAATAAGTTTCCCCCCCACTCTGAAGCATGCCTACTATTTACGAGAACTATCCTTGTGGCTACTTTCATGCAGATCTGTTTTCTAGTAAGTCTCAAGTAGACATCTGTAAAATACTAAGGAACCCTTGACTTAAATGAAAAGGGTATATTTACAGGAATAGCCTGTAGGTTGATAAGCTACCTAGTTATCTCTTGACAAGTTGTACACATATATATTACTTTTACTTTTAAAAAACCTACACTAACTTTCATAGAGTGTAGGAGTTTGAGAATGATGTTGACTCTTTGATAACTTTGTGGTAAAAGGATTGATTCATGCTATTGTGGTTCTTTATTCCTCAGAAGAAAAAAAAACAAGAATGATGTAATACTACTAAATTCCCTTTATTGTCTGGGAGAAGAAAGCGGCTACTAATTAAGAAAAAATAAAGTTTTCACGTTTATAAATGGAAAAATAAAAACGTAACTCTTCACCTATTATTTGCAACTTAGAAAAAACAACCAACATCGTGATTTTTACCTCTTCTACATTGGAAGCTGTTTTAGCAGAAGTTTCCATAAAGATAAGACCATGTTCTCTGGCAAAAGCCTCCCCTTCTTCCTTTTTCACTTCTCTCCGTGACTCCAAATCACTAAAACAGGGAACAGAGAGCCGTTTTTGAAAGACACTATGGTACAGCAAAACATTTCAAATATAAGAAAGGTTACAAGTGAGAAGAGGTGATGTGGTCCATCTAGCCCATGCGGTCGCTAACAGTTAATGGATCCAAAACTGTCTTCATTCACTACAAAGTCAAATTTATAAGATGCTATTTCCTCACAGATTAGAAGGAAGATCATGCCACTCCAAGGTTTAAATTATTACGAACAAAAATTATTACGAACCTCACCAAATATCCAGACAGTGCATGATTAATCAAAAGATTAAGTAAAATAAATCTGTACAGCTTTTTTTAATAACTCTCAAACAAACTGCAATACCTCTTGTTTCCAATGAGCATGATGACCATATTGGAGTTGGAATGTTGGCGTGCATCTTCTAACCAGGTTGTCAAGTGGTTGAAGGTGTCCCTTCTGTTACAATTCAATACAGAACAGACATCAAAAGGTAGAGAAAATCCCAAATTACACAGTTCTTTTACTTTTAACACTACATTATATTTAATGGCAGCAGCTGGAAGAAAAATAAGCTTAACTACAGGTTAAGAAAACGCAAGCATAATCTGTACCACATAAAGCATTAAATGCTTTGTAAAAACAAAAAAATACCAGGAGAATTTCATCTTTCCAAATGACGCGTGTTCAATGGTACAAAAAGACAGCAGAAACAGAGCCATGCTACATAAAGCTAGGCTTGGAAACTATACAATCATTTGTAAAAAAGGGAAAACTAAAACACTAATACACAAATTTCATGGCAGACTATAAAATGATCCCATACCTCGGAACGCATAGGAGGTGGATTCTTTCAAAGTAATAAAAATTAAATCTTCCACATTTCTCTTGTATGAAGAGCATGAAAGAACTTAAAACTGACATCCACAAATGCAGTCTTACCTTGTGATATCATACACCAAGAGAGCTCCAGCAGCACCCCTGTAGTAGGACCTAGTGATGGACCGGAAAGACTCTTGTCCGGCCTGAAAGACAATTTATGAAACGTTAAGTCCTGAACAGCAACAGCCAAAAGAGGGGGGAAAAAAAGTCAGCATCTTTCCCCAACAGTTGTCTCTTAAACTCAAAACAGAAACTCATCCCTTTGCCTTTCAACAAATGCAGATGCGCGCTGCTTACTGACACTGAAGAAGGGCAGCAACACATGAAGGCCACTGTTGTGCCTTGTCATTCTCTCCCCACAAAAAGCCCTCTCAACTCTCCCAGGCAAATCCTTGACAACCCAATTTACTGAATGGCCTTACAATACATGAATCATTATCGCAGCGCAGAATGGACTCCTAGCAACTACACTCTGAAGGAGCCTCTGAAAGCAAGCAAATAAGCCAGAGCTGCACATTTGAATTCAATATCCCACTCCCTGGGCAGCTGTTGACATTAGAATAAATAAAGCCCATTGTAAATAAATGATGAATGACACTTTTATGCCCACCATCTGCCAGAGCAGAGGTTGCAGGAAGGCCAAGGATGACAACTTGGCATGTTGCATCACCCGTAGCTCCCATCACTCATCCACAAATTTTTCTGTGGTTAACCGCGTTCGCAGAGACAAAATCATACGAGTCTCATTTCAAAAACATATCAAGCACAGATGGGTGTGGATGCATATATTCTAAAACGTTATATTTTATACCAGTGTTAAAGAATGTTCATCAAAATCTAAATCGTGCTTCACGAGATCCGCATTTTGATTCTCAACACGCATTCCAAAAACCAGGTGAAACGAGCAAAAAAAAAAAATCTTAGGATTGGATGACAAAGAAAAACTACATATATATCAACGGAATTTTACCCTTAATAATGTGTGATAATTTACAGCATGCATGCAATTAGGGTTTTCCCAAAGTGCTCATAGTGTAGTCACCAGTGACTAATGTTACTGTCAAGTGATTCAGTCACTTTAGAAGGTACAGTATGTATAAAGAATTCTCGACAATGAAAAATATTAGGTACACATTAAACCTAAATAAGCTACTCTGTCTACATTGATTCAATTAAAAACATTTAATTTGATGTCTGTGCTCCAAATTTACCCTAGTTTTAAGGCAGTATTTTTAATATACCTTTCCAGGTTTTATAACTACAAAAAGAACCATTGATTATACATTAAATTCAGAACTTAACCCATGTTTTATTATGGAAATAAAAACTCTAGACAAATTATGAAAACAAATGGGAGAATGACTGTCAATGTTGTTTTGAAAATTCTTAGCTCTTCATGGTTGAATCCATGCTTGAAATTCACTACCTGACTGAGGGATCTTATAGAGACTGGTGCTTTATTCCAAGATCATGTGAACCACTATTATTGCATGCTGACAAAAGCCAGTCAACTAATCACGTAGCTTTTTCAGGTTTTAACAGCAAAAGATTTGCATCTTTCTTAACCGTGACTTTTCTTCCACATTATTTACTTCTTTCTTGGTGTTTTTTTGCTAACAGTATGAAGAGAAGTTTGTGTATGTAACATATATACAGTATTAATTGCGAGTTCAAACTGTAATGGCTGCAAGCTTAAAAGCATAAAAAAGTGTGAAAACTGAATATCTTTCCAAAGCACATATTGCTTGGGTCCCCTTATCAACTCTGGAAATCTGGAAGTTTCAACCTTAGTTTTGGTATTAATGATGGCTATATTTAAGATCACTTAAAACATGATCTTCAAAGGTATCTTTTCATCTCCATAACACTGCACATATTCATACACCTCTCCCACTGCGATACAGAAAAGCTAATATATACCCTTAAGTAAAGTTTAAAGTAATAGAAATGTAATTTTCTATATGCAAAATTTGGCAATGGGAACAGGAGGTATACAGGCTGTGTGATTAGCGATCAACATCACTTCAACAGCTTGAGGGACTAGTAACAGCACTTGTGCTAAGTAAGAAGCAGCTTGTCTCGTGTTGTTATAACAGGACAGTTTTAGAGCTTTATCTAGGAAACTGAATCAGCAAAAGGCAAAATTCATTTTGTCGCTTGCCAAAAACCAGTGAAAATGCAGAACATTATTTGTGACAGGAGGTAGGTAACATAAAACAATAAAATATCTTTTAGAGCTACTGCAACAGCTACCAGTTCAAATCAAGAACGATATCTTGCCATTCACATCAACGAATAAAGGAATTCCTCCACTCCACTGAAGCACATTTGTTTTTCTCTGATAGCATAATTACAAGGCCCTTAACACCATGTACACACATCTCCTTTGGAGACAGTGATCATAGGTGCAGTTGCAGTGAGACTAATGGTGTCACAGTCGCTGAGGGGCCTTTTGAATTGAGGAGTTCAGAGGATGAGTGAACACAATTTGCACTTTCAACTTTTTCCACACTAGAAACATCCCTATCAAACTAGATCTGTGACAAAGAAGAGTACTGGCATTGGACAGAAGTAGAGAACTTCAGGGTGAGCGATGCAATAGCATCACCAATGCACAGGATCTGACCTGCCAGCTGTTTAACACCTCTACTTTATACTGTGTTTATTAACGTTAATGCAGATAAATTGCTACCAATCTCCTTTTATGATTTTGCTATTTCTTACATTTGCTTCAAGAAAGCAGAGATATTATATCTACGATCCTGATAATCATTTTAATTGTATAATCTTTACAAAGATATTATCAGAAAAATGACTGTGATTTGTAGCAGGTACACCAATATTTTATTAAACAAATATGACATGTAAATTCAATATGCTGATTAACAAGGGCTGATCAGCAGCAATCTACTGAGAAAGTCACATTCTAGTAGCGTGTGGACACTGTTTGAAGTAATACATTACTTCCAATGTATTACTTCTTGACACCTGAAGAAGGCTCCACGGCCGAAACGTTGTGTTCTCTTTCTTCTTTTTTTCAGCATGGAATAAACTTGTTCCGTAATACATAACTGTATTGTTGCATGCTTTTTCCCAGGTTTAAGATGATCTCTTGTGGGATTCTGTCCCATTCCTCTTGTAGAAACTGGACAAGCATTTGCCTGCTCACAGGTTTCCGAGCCCTAGCTGCTACACCATTGTCCCAGTTCATCCCACAAATCGAAGATGGAAATCTAAGATGGAAGTCTGGTGAATAACTGTCAGATTCTAGAGCTGTTACACAAACAGTTTGAGGATGTGCTCTGTTCTGCTGGAAAGCTTCCATGTCTGGATGAGCAAGTGGGGGCCCCTTGCCTATCTCTGTAGCTCCAGACAGTCAGGTTGCCATCAATCACTGAAAGTGGAGTCACTCCTAGCCAAGACCTTCATTGGTCTGCTGTACACAACAATTAGTGCATCATTTTGCAAGGGGCACCCTTTCTAGGGCCCTATGAACGTTCTTCACAAAAACCTTGATTCATCAATGAAAAGGACTTGGTTCTACTGCTGGATTGACCACACTGAATATTGGTCCCTTTCCGCTTTATTTCCTTCTTTTCACCAGGCTTGACATTAAACAAGTTAAATAACCTCATCACATGCCCTAGTGATTTTCTCACTAATGAGGTAATTTAGTGCTGACAGAACAGTCAGTAGTTGCTTTAGTGCATCATGATCAATCATGAATCAAAATACTGGCAAAAACAACTTCCAAATGTATTATTCTAAAACATACACGTATAAAGTGGTTTCTTTCAAAACTCAGTATACTTCTAGAGACAATAAATATCTGCAAGGGGTTTTAAATCAAGAATTACAATACATCTTATTATACTCTTTTAATATTGCCCACCCTGCTCGGTATATTTAAACTCAAAACAGCTTTTTATTACATATGTTACAGAGTTGAATTAATGGTTCAGATATGAAATTACCTGTAATTTCTCAGCAAATTACAATATTATAATTAATATTATTCAAAGGACAAGTCAAACTGCTGGTTCAGAAGTGTATGCTAGTGAAGGCTTCTAATTCATGGGTATTCTTGGAAAGCTTAATAACATGTAAATTAGAAGCAGAGTATGGGAAAATGTTTAATCACATTATATTCAGTGATGTGGGGTGAACGTAGTAGACCTTAACTTCACAAACATATTAAATACCCAGGAGTACAGTCTAGTATTAATTTAAACAACTAAGGAAAGACTGAGCTGAGCCTTGCATTTCATTCCTTAATGAGCTACTAAATAAAATTATTATCCCTTCTTTTAATGCTTGTATTTCCTACATGTGGGCCTGTAGGCCTGTCTCCAAGACTAACAGATTCTGTGGTTCAAGCTCTGTGGGGTCTCAATGATGAAGACAGCTGGGAGCCTCACCTGCCTTAACATGCTTCTTTGACACCTCTGTTTCCTAAAAAATGAATTATTTACAGGCCAGTACATGCAAGAACATTCATCCCACATTGAGTCTCCTGATAAAAAAAGCCTGTTCATATTCAATATATTCATATTTTGAACACAATGTCTATGCCTAAAGACCCCAAGGTACGAGTGTGTCACACTCCACAGCTCTTAGCTTCTTCATAGCTTCCCTTGTGTACTTGTTTAGGCTGAGATGCTTTTTATTTTGTTAACGTGGGACACCTTTAATTGCTACTGTCTAGTCAAATCTATCATAATTTCGGAACACCAACAAATGACATTTGTCAGCTGTGGAGCATGTGAAGAAGATTAGCAAACTGCAAGAGAGGGTGGTGGATTCTCATCATCTTTTTTAGTTTTAGTTTTCATTCTAGCCGAGTTTAAAATTTGAAGATTGTCTGGGATTTATCTGTAAACAAAAGACAGCAATAACATAAGCAGGCCGAGAAAGAAAATCCTCATTTACCTCACAAAACATACATGGAATTTAAAGACAAATAACTGATTGACCATAAATAACAAAGGAGATATATCTGATTCCAAAGTCCTTTTCCTATTGCTCTGACTAGCACAGACTCTCCCATTTTGTGATAAAGGACATCAACATGTATATTTATTTTGAGATTCGGTTGAACTCTCTTTGTAAGGAAAACAGAACATGGAGGCATTTGGCTACTGAAAATGTATCCCTGAAGGATAAAAGTCCACTCCTGAGAATGTTCAGTCCTTTTATGAATGGTTCACTTAGTTTTATACAGAGAAGAAAAAATACGGAGAACATATTTAGTCAATCAAGTATTGTTGTACAGACATTAATTAAATGTGTAAGTGACAACCTCCCTTTCTCCATCACATCCTAAGTCTGCTTGAGTAATAGAGCTTGAATAAAGAATTCATCCACTTCATAAACCTCCTCAGCCTTTGGGATTCAACACTGCATATCAATAATATGATCTTAAATTTCTCTTTAAACAATCGCTGTAATTTTGTGTGATTGGGGATTCATTCTTGGCTAGCTAAACTAGCTGCATAAATAATGCCTAACTTTTATTTCAGGAAATTTTTGACGGCACTACATACTTTGTCTCCACCTGCAGGCAAATTTGAGTCTTTACGGACCATCACAAACGGTGATACAACACTTAGCCTCAAACCCGCTAACATATCATTCTTAACTTAGTGACTTGTATCTGCTGTGCAGGATTTAACTGCCCAAAACTGAAAGTCACAGCATAAGTTACTGGGTTAACTGGTGACAACATGTTGTTCAAATTCCACAAAGAAGCAAGTTTTAGCAGTGGAATTTATCAACAAACCTTGATTTTGATTTTGTTTAAGATTTGATGGTCTTTGGGAAATTAATGCAGAACAAAATGGTGACTTATAATGCTACCCCTTTATTCACATTAGCGTGTTTTATTAAGAGATATATTTCAAACCTATGCTTCTTCTCTATTCTCTGGGACGGTGACGCTGTAAACCACCTTCAAATTATTACTATTGACCGGTTTTGCCAATACAATTTAGAGTACATGTAAAAAAACACCAATAATTTTAATCTAGTTTCACCTTTGTATTTGGAGTAATAAGATATGGAAATAGATTTATCAAAAATTATGGCTTCAATGTATTGTGCTGAAGAAGTACATTTAACCAGTAATAGCAGAGGCACTGTTACACAAAGGGTTGTGGAAGCAGGGAACAAGTCACCCAGCCATGCTGTCGAAGCAAGTTTCTTGAAAGAAATGTCTGTTCAAGATCCACAAATGGATGAGCCAATAGCAACCAAACAAGCAGGATATGTCAACTATACTCCACCTTATAACCTTGTAAACTTTCTTTTAAAATTAAATCAGCTAAGATTGAACTAAACCGTAGAACAGGGTTTCCCTAGACTAATTCTGAGGCAGCAATCTTTTCTGGCTTGTGTTCTCATACTTGAAGCCTAAATGCAACCAACAGTTTTTTGCATGTAACTTTTTCGGCCTCCTAAAAACCTACGCACAGTCTTTAAATACACACCTATTTTCAGAGTTGAACTTTCTTTAATTACTTCACTTATATAGCTTGGTGCTTAGTAGGAACAAAACAAAAACTCTATATTTAGAGTACATAAATTTTAAGATGTTCTATTTCTACATTTTAACTTGCCAACAAGCTTTTAGTGCAGAGGAAGATCTTATTTCAAGGAGAAGGACACTAATTCCCTTTAAAGTACTTTACATAGTACTAAAAACAAAGGAGCTGTTATAAATGCTGAATGATTTACTTATGATTGAAACTGGCTGGATAGAAAGTGAAAATCCATTACTGTTCATTCCTAATCTGTGGTTAAACAACAAACGCTGTGTATCTTTTTGAGGCTGTTTACCCCAGTAGAATGGATTTTGGGAAAGATATGGTCTAACTTGTTTCCAACTTTTATGCATAGTACAGATTAACCATTTGTCCTGCGTTAACATAATACAAAGTCAGAAGAAAAAAAGAATACTTACGGTATCCCAGATTTGAAGTTTTATCTGTTTTCCATCAATAGTGATCATTCTTGCTCCAAATTCTACACCTATTTGATAAAGTATTTGAAAGAAATTAATTAAAAACTTGAAATTACAATACTAGTCAAATTAAAGATTCTGCACGTCAGAGAATGTGAATAAAGTATTCTCTATATTACCAAGTTTATTTAAAACTAAAAATAATATTTAAAAATAACCTGTCTTCAGTTGTCACTCAGGTTCAGTTATCATGTAATCAAACCGTAATAATTTGCTATTCGATTTATAAAAACTATTAGGTATATTTTATATTGTCACATAAAAAACAATACGTATTTAATAAGAATAACATTTCAAAAAGCATAAAAAATGTAAGACACACCAGAACTCAATCACCATTTAAACCCCCCCAAAAAAATCTAAAAATCTTACCAATAGTGAGGTCATGCACAGGTTGAAACCTCTTATCTGTGAACTGTAGTAATAAACATGATTTCCCCACTCCTGGAAAATAAGATCATAGCATGCATCAGAAACATCGCACAACAAAATCTGAGACCCCTGTGAAGAACGAGCAGATAAGAAAATGAGACTAAAAATACAAGTACTTCTCAATTTTCCAAGACAAATATGTGTTCCTCTTGAAATGTTTACATTGTCAAGCTTCTCCCATTTCTTATCAAACTATTTCGGGAGACAAGGACTTAAGACCTTCTAGAGGAAGAGAAATAAATACACTCAAATGTGAATGAACAGAAATAACACTGGCCAGCCTATTGGAAAGCCAAACAAAACTGCAGCATCTTTCTAATTGAAGAGAACTAGAAGGCACATGGTGCCACAGCAGCACTTACAGCCAGGGTTTATTAGGAGCAGTATGGTAACACATGCTTCTAGCTTTCACAGAGTAAGTGGTTAGGAAAGAAATGGAATTCATCCTCCACTCAGGACGAACAGATGCTGCTCACTGCTCCAATAATTAATTAGGGCTGAACCTCAGAAGAAATATCCTGTGGAAGATTCTGAATGCAGTGGGCTGATCCCAGCTAGGGGCGAGCATCGACAAAGAAAGTCATTTTTAAAGGAGAATTGTAGAATAGGGAATTCGCTGAAAACCTTCAAATGAAATTCACAGAGATTGTCAAAACAAGAACTCAAGAAAAACTAAATAAGTAAAGGCATTTAGAAGTAAATGCTTATGTCTAAATGCCGGGAGTATTAGGAACAGAAAATAATTTAAAGGCCCAGAATTAGCATATAATTACACGTGGATAAAAGGCACTATGACAAAATATGCCGCTAGTAGTAGATGGCATTCTAAAGAGAAGAGGAAGCTGGAAATTCAGGTATAACACGATATACCAAACAGAGCATTCAGGCACAGGAAGATAACCCTGGTGAATTAAGAGTCTCTATCTTTCCAGAATTTGACTTAGAAAAACACTGAAAAGGTTCAGTCTCAAGAGTACATCACAGAATATCAAATTCAGATATGAATGAAAATTTCATTATTTTCATTATTCCTATTTAATTAAATCAGAAATGCATACTGAGAGGCAATAAAACAAATGAGTATTGGGATCAATGTGTTAAGGACACTGTAATCATGGGAGACTTTAATTTGCTCACACGGACTGAGAAACATTTACCCAGGTGCAGGTGAAACTCAATCACAGCAAATGATTCCAACCTTCAACATTTTGTCAGAAAACCTATTGAAGGGAATGCATGCATTTGTTTAGCGTTTTCAAATGCAGATTCCATCTGGTCAAAGATGAATAAGATATTCCTTAAAGTACATTTTGAAACACTGAATAAAGTCTAAAATAAAGGTTTTAAAATGTGGGAAAGCAGACCGAGAAGATATGAAAGAGTTTAGAAGTAAAATGGAATTGAATGGATATGGAAAACAGAATCGATTTAGGTTTTAATCTTTTATAAGGAATTTTTAAATTGCAGGCACTGGGCATTCAAGGTAATACATGTATTTTGACTGAAAACTGGCTAATGGATGAAAAATAGAGAATCCATATATGGTATGGATGTGCCCATTTGGGTGATGTAATAAGTAGAGCATCACAGGGATTTGTAATTGAATCACTGCTCTTTTTAATTCATATCAATTATCTAGATTCTGGTATAGTTAGCAGACTAGTCAGGTTTACAGAATATTTTAAACTAGTAGGATCAGTAAACACTATGCAAGAGGTCAAGGAAATATCTGGCTGATGATTTAGTTTAGGCAAGTGCACATTATTATAATGTTTAATAATGTTTATAATGTTTCTTTATTAGCCCTATACAATTTCTTGCATTAGGAATTCATCTTTTCGCATACCCCAGCTTTTCTCCATGAAGACACAGACACACAGACAGGGAGAGAAGCTTGGGGTCAGAGCGCAGGGTCAGCCATTGCACAGCACCCCTGGAGCAGTTGGGGTTAAGGGCCCAACGGAGTAAGATTCCTCTGCCGGCCGCGGGATTTGAACCGGCAACCTTCCAGCCACAGGCGCAGATCCTGAGCCACAGAGCCACCGCTCCGCCCCGATATAGTAAGTAGGTGGTAAAGTACAAATAAGACAGTAAACACAGCTTCATGAACTTACACATCACATGTTTATTCTGATACCTTTATCATCTTCTAGACAATATGTGTAAGCAATAAAATGGCAAACATTGCTAGTAAATACCATCATACAATAATAAGTGTAGAATTTGAATTAAGGGATGATACAAATCATACTGTATCATAGTATACAAAGTTCATTTAAGAGTGTATAATTTTCCTGAGTAGATGTCTAGATGCATTCTGTGGCTTAAAGGAAAGTCCTCTCCTGACAGACCTAAAACACTGGATCTTTTCACCTCGAAAACAGAAGACTACGAGAAGACCTGATCCTAGCACTCAAAAGGCATTGAATAATCAATTTTTCTTCAGAATCACTGAAACAAGAACCATTAAAATGGAATGTGAGGCACATGCTCATGCAAAAGATAATAGAAATTTGGAACAATCTACCAGCCCATCTAAGAGCACAACAGGAACAGAATTAACTCATCTCATGTACAGCCGTTCTGATCCAGTCTCACTTCTGAAGCTGATATCCTGGCATCCATCAAGAAATGGATCAATTAACTATTAGCAAGCAAACAAGATAGGCTGACTGGCCTCCCATCATTTGCAACGTTTCTTATGTTCTTATCCATTGCAGCACAGCATATGATTAATTGATTTCTATACTTGTTCAGTGGGGTTAGGTGCTTCGATTCCACAAGGCAGTCGATACCATGCTGAAAAATTACTTGTGGCTTAAGAGTGTTTTGAACCCAACAGAAACAGAAAAAGTTAGCAATCGTAATTTTTTATTATCAAGAATATCACTACAGGCCATTCAGTAGTGAGCTGAACTTAACTCGTCGATGGTGATCCGATATTTAAATTGTTTCAGATCAACAAGGAGGAAAACATGCAGAATCAGAGGGCATGCTACATTGCCGGCTTATCACTCAAAGAAGGATTATACTTCAACCACTCCCTTAGGTAAGCAATGACCAATGTTTCAAAACCACACCCTCGCAATGCAACAAGAATAGTTTCAAACACACTTTGAATATGGCCCACATACATGTCTCCCAGGTCATACATTATTAGGGGAAATTCGTAATTCAATTCATTCAAGTCATAATTTTCCACTATATTCAACACACTTTGCTTAAAATTGAATACATTCCATTCAAAAAGAAACGGCAAAAACAACTTTTTCGGTGTTAAGAAACTGAACTATAAATTCTAATATGTATATAGAAAATGGAGAAGTCTCATATTCCTGATTTTAGTGAATGGTCACATCTTATTAATGGTAAACGGACCTCACACCTACCCTAGCACTGCAGGGAGTAAACAATCAACCCATGTGTGTTAGTCCTGATCTGTTCAATCTAGCACATCAAATGTTTATAAAAATAAACTGATAATGCAGATAAACGTTCCTATTACGTTTTTAACATTCAAAATGGCATTAGAAAAGATGATAGTCACTCCTAAATTCCTTTCCTTCTTTAGCACTCCCTTCCCTCCCCCCCTCTTTTCTAATTCTGTGCCTTCAAGTAAACTTTACTTATCAAAGGTCTTTAATTATAGATAACGTGATTAGAGATACACAATCCTGCACACCTGAAGGGGAAGGAACTGAACTTTTCTCAGTTGCATTTTACTCATGTTCCAGGAAGAGGGCAATGGAATAAACGCACTTCCAAGACTTCTTTTCAGCTTTGCGTTTAACTGTGCAAGGTGCCCAGGTTTTTAGTTAAATGAAAAATGGATCATGATTTTGTCCGGGAGGACAACTTATATGTGTGCAATATGTAATAAGTGCATCAGAATGAAAGTTCAATACAAGTACTGCAAGCTTCAGTTAAGGTGGATAAACAATCATTTTGTTTGTATTTAATGATGATCCTGGAAATCTAGTTGGCTCAATGTGACAGAAATCAAGCTCTATTAAAATGTGCCCATAGTGGTATTAACAATACATGAACTAAATGAAAAATATCCGGCTAACTGTTCCATTTAAAAGAGTAATATCTTTACTCTTCAGTTCCACCCCAAAAAAAAACACTGAAAAGAACTTAATTGTTAACAAATTAAGATGCATATTTAATCCCAAAAGATCCCTAAAGAGTGCTTTAGAAACAGGCGAGGACACACTTCAATGGCGGCAGTCATCACAAGCCAGAAACCCCATCGCAGATCAGATCAGATGGAGACATGAGATACTGCTTCACCAACTGAATTAAGCAGGAACATGAGGGCGGCCATACTGTGCAGGCCCAATATGGAATGGATCCAGGACGGTGAGTTTAAAAAACTCACAGAATCCTTATGATAAAGTAGTCAGGAGCCGAGTTTAACACCTCTACAGCACAATGTTCCAGGGCACCTCACTGGGGAATTGAATCTGAAAATCCAAAAGGAAGAGAATCCCGTATACTGATCCACAACACCACTTACAGAAGGTCTGGCAGTCTACCACCCCAGTACTGCCAGGCTCTTATGGGCTGCCTCGTGGATGAGATCTGTGGATCAAATAGCTATTAACTACCATATGGACTATATGGGCCAAATGGCCTCCTCTCATTTGTAGCTGTTTGCAATGCAGCACTTTCTCACCATCTGCAGTAACCAGTTGCGCACAGCTGTGTATCACGCCTTACCATGCCTGGAAGCTGTTACTAGAAACAGTATTTGGCTGATGAACAAGAAGGAAAATAAGTTAAACCAATTCAACAAAATCATAAAAAGAACATTTAATTCAATAAACTGGCATTGATATAGCTCATGTTTTGTCCACCTACTTGCTTGTCAATCTGTTCAATACTTAGAGGAGTCTTGCTTATATGACGATTTCTTTCTGTATCGAACACTTAACCTTACATAGTTCAAAATAAGTGGATGAATGTTCTTGACAATGTTCCCCAGCTTGACAGCATGAGATTGCATACAA